CCCGCCGGCCCCGCCGCCGCCGCCCTCGCGCCTTGCAGACAGACAAAGGAGCCTCCCGCGCGCCCTGCCGCGCTGTGCACTGGCCTATGAAATTGGGGAGGGGGCAGCCACATGGCCAACAGAAGGGTGGGAGGGGGAGAGCCATTGAATGTGAAAGGGTGTCCTGTCCGGGAGGCTCTGGTAATTGCCTTTTTATTGTGGCAGCCTCCGGACCAGACGCGGGAGCTGGAGAAACCGGGAAGGCTACAAAACAGCAGGAAAAGTTGCTCTGATTAATATTACGTTAAATTAAAACTGATTTTCTGCTCTTTCTGCTCTGTTTTTTTCCATGCGCTTCCCCCGGCCCCTCCGTGTGGCTCCCCCCGCTCCGGGGGGCTCCCCGCGCTGCCCCCTCCCCGCCCCGGCCCTGCCTGCCCAGGACTGCCGAGTCATTTCCAATTCCTTCTCGTATTGATCTTCCTGTAGAAATCAGTTTTGTAATTAGCTGCAAATTAGGCCTTCTACTGGGGGTGAGCCTGCCCCCTGATTTATCACCAGAGTAATTCGCTGTGATCGGAGAGAAATTAAAATGAACTCAATTAGGCTTCGGATTTGCTTTATGGGCCCTGCTCAGAGTTTCAGGGGGAAAAATGACTGTGCTGGTGCTTAATAGTCTAATGAAAGTAAATAAAGGTTATTCATTGTAATAAACCCAGGGACTCTGGGATGAAGGGAGTCCACAGCCAGCCTCTCCTTCTCTTCCTTTGTTGGTTTATGGCTTGGGGCGGTTTAAAAAGACTTTTGATTTTCATTTTATTAAGACAAACAGCTTTTGGGATAAAAGGCTGGGGAAGCAGGGGAGTGAAGGGAAGGGAAGGGGGGCAGAGCTGCACAAGTGCAGAAAACTAGGTTGACGACCAGAGTCAGGTCTCAGCTTTGGGCCGCGAGGGAAGCTCCTCGCAAGTCCCTTGCGCCGGGCGCAGCCGGGAGGAGCACGGCAAGGCAAGGCGGGAGCACGGGCAGAGCCGCCGCGCACACGTGCATCAGCGCAGTTGCAAATGGAAAGTGCTGTATCATGTGAACGCAGCATGGGCATAACAGCAGGACAGCGCAAGAACAAGGGATGGAGAGAGGAGGAGTGATTCCAGTGAGGGAATCTCCCTGCCCTCGCCCTGCGGGCTCCTCTGGGGCTGCATTGCCAGGCTGGCCCTCACCTGCTCAGATTTGATGTGTTCTGATGTTTGAAAGACGTCAGGGTAAGAAGGACGCTCAAAAACTCGATCTAAAGCTTCCAGCTGCTGCTGGGTAAAAGTGTCGGCACGAAGGTGCTTCCGCAAACTGTCCACGCTGCTCTGGGAATCTCCGTTGGGAACCGAGCCCTCGGATACATCTGCAGGGCACAGACAGAGAAAACGGAGTTAGCACCACCCTGGCTCGGGTCAGCAAGGGATGGGAGCAAGAAGGGAGCGGGAGGAGGGGAGCCCTCGGCTGTGCACAGGGAGCCGTGTCCCTCCTGCGGGGTGTGGAGGCTGGGGAGACCCGAGCGGAGCCCCTTCCCGGCCTGCCGGAGAGGCTCCCGCTGCCTCCGGGGCGCTCTGCCCAGCGTGGTTGGGGCTGTGGAGAATGGTGCTCAGCTCAGAGATGAGTTTCGGTTCCACTGATTTTCAGGGTTAAAAATTGCCAAATCCCCAGTGCTGAGCATAAAATGGGAGCGAAGCACAGCGATTAGCGTCGGTAGAGGGCTGCTGGAGAGGCAGCTCGCAGACCGGCTGGCGCGGAGGAGGGAGCTGTGCTGTCCTGCCGAGGGCTGGCGAAGCCTGAAGCGGGGAGAGTGCTCTGATACAGCTTGGGAGCGAATCCGTCCCGTCTTCGCTCCCTAGTCGCAGTGGAAGTTATGTCTCTGTTGTGATTTATCTGGTATCTGATCATGCCCTGTCACATCCCAGATGAATCTTTTTCCCCCCTCCCCAGATATCCTGAGTGATCCCATTTCTGACTGTTTCACACAGGTGAGTCTCTATGGAGCCTTCTGTCCTACCCAGCATATGTTGGTTTCTGTTCGGATCTCTGTGCCCACAGGTAGCTGTTTATTTATCACATCCCCTATCTCTGTTATAAACCTCCCACCAAAACAAGGGGAATCTTTGTCTGTGACTGTCCCTCTTCTTATCCACATCCCAATCCCACTCTGTGGGAATCAGCCTCCACTGAAATCCAGTGTTTTATCTAGGAGAAACCTCTCTTGTGGGATAAGCAGCATCAGAAGCACATCTCTGTCCGCAGCAACCCTTCGACACGGTCCGATCTCACTGCAGAGCGTCTCCTGTCACCTTCCAGGTGTCTCTATCTCTGTCATGCCACCCCATGTCTGATGTGCTAAGTCTGTCTCTGTTAGAGCCCACTCATCCCCTTCGAGGTGAGCTGAATCCATTATAAATGTCCTGCCCCATCCAAAGTGAATCTTCCTGTGTGATAAACCATCTTTTCACGCATCTGTTTTTTTTTCCTGTTATCCCCCAACTCAAATGAGGTGCATTTATCTCTGTTATAACCCCTTCTTATCTGAAGTGAGCGAGTCTCCTGCTATTAGCATCTGTCACAGCCAAGGTGAGTCTGTCTGTTATAACCTCCTGTCCCAGCTGAAGTGAATCTCCCTTTGTCATAATCCCTCATCTCATCTGAGGCAAGTCTGCTCATTAGCATCTTCTCTGGCCGTGCTGAGGGTCTTTCCACTGTCACCGCTCGGTGTAACTTTGGAGAGCCCAGGTACACGCTCACTCTCCCGCATCCGATACATCTCTGTACCCAGCGTTCTGAATCTCTGCCTGCTGTCTTCATTGGACAAAGGTCCGACTGTCCTATGACTCTGTCTAACCTACAGTCGGGTTCTCCCTCCTACCTGCAGCTTCCTGCCTGTTTTGCACTGTTATTCCTGAGACCTCAGCCTCTCCCAGCAGCTTCCTGTCCCTGGAGCAGAAGGAATTTGCTGTCTGGCAAGGAAGTGGTTGAGGCACCTGCATCACCCTCTTCCCTCCACCCCGTGATGGAGAAGGTGCTCATGGCAGGACACTACTCCTGTTCCCGTGAGACGGGAGTGCCATTCCCTGTGGGAAGGCCAGGAGTGTGCTGCTCGTCCCCATCAGCCCTTAGCCCATGGACAGTGCCATGCTGGCTGCTTTCCTGGCACACTTCATGTCCAACTGGTGGCCCAGAGTAATAACTGAGCCTGCAGCCTCCTGGCTATGAGATATATCCGTTTATAGGTGATTATATGATATGATATAATCAATAGTACATTATATACAGTAACGTAGTACAGTACCACTCACAAGACCATAGACAATATTACATATTGATTTGTCCAAGCCAGCAGCCTTCCCCTGAGCAGCCCCTTCTTTCTCTCTCTTTCTCTGACTCTTTCCCTTCCACCCCTAGCCAGAGTGGGGCCCTTAACTGGCACTCATCCCTGGCGGGTTCGCTCTCTTCAGGCTTATTCCCACAGGGGCAAACCCTGATGTTCCTGAAGGCTGCAGCGCATGACAGCTTTGACAAAGAAAAAATAAAGCAGGAACCTGCCTTGCTGGGCTGCACGCTGTTAGTTAGTGCAGACTGCGCTGTTGCTCGAGGAGTGGCTTTCAGAGGACTAATGTAACTTGGGTCTCAAGCTCCTAACTGCACTAGTCACTTCTCTTTGGTCCCCCCTGCAGAAAGCTGCCAGGGAGCTTCTGGGTCCAGGCTCGGAGGGAAAAAAATGTCTCTGTAGTGATGCTTGTCGTGCTTTGCCTGCGCCTGTGCGGCCACTTGCCTGTAAGGCTGTTTTTCCGCATGTGTCAGTCGGTGTGCGTGACTGTGTCACCATTTTGTTAATACGCCCCGGGGTTTTTGCAGTCAGTCACCGCCCCGCTCTGCTCTGCTGTAGGTTCTGTCTCACCCTATGAGTCCGAGCAGCCCTTGGACTGAGGGGGCTCTTCTAGGTTTATTTGCCTTTCCAGGATGGCAGCCCTGCAGCACGCACGGTGCTTGGTGTGCGTGGCGGGGGCTCAAGCAAACGCTCAGGCTTCCTTGCTTGTCATGAAGCCGGATTTTACCCTCTGCAGCTTGCCCTGCCCTGCAGGCCTGTGCACGCCGGTATTCCCAGCTCGTGGGTGTCCCCGCGCGCGCGGCCCCTGCCTTTGTGTGCAGGAGCTGAACGCAGAGCCTGCCCAAGTCGCTGCAGGAGTCTTTTTCCCTTCATTTATTCAGGGGCCCTTCAGATCTTGACAAATCTGTCACTCTAAATTTGCGAGAGATTATGGTGCTCTCTCCCTAGCACGGAGAGAGGTGATATATGATATCTGCTGCCCCTATTGATTGCCTGATCTGGTGGCAGAGGGCTGGCGAAATGAACTTGAAATGAACATCATGCCTCAACTCATTGTGCGTATAATACACTACTTAATCCCACATTTTTCAGCCGCTATGGAATTCAATTGATCAATCATGTCCCTCTGATAGTACTGTTTTAGGGGTTATTGCTGCTCTGCTCACTGACCTTTTTTATTTATTTATTTATTTGTGTGAGTGTGTGTGAGGGTGTCTCTGTGTGCGTACATTTGCCAAACTCAGGGCCTGCTGATAAGAAAGGTCCTCGTATAGCCGGTGGGAAATGAAAGGAAAAGATGATGGGAGGAGAAGGAGAAGCGGCAAGGTTAGATAACGAAGCAAAACGATCGAAGCAAGAGAATAGGCAAGCATGGGAGGAAAACTTGTGAGGAGGAGGGGAATGAGCACTCGGACAGGAGGTCTGGGTATGTGCGCGCGTGACAACCCATGAAGTCTTGACCTCTGCCTTTAAAATCTGCAAGGACAGAATTCAGGCAGAGAACCGTAGGCTCTCTGGACACGGCCCTTGTGTCACTGCCTTGTACCAGGACTGGACTGAATGATGGCAGGGCACACAAATACCAAACCCCACTGCTCTAACGTGAGTTGTGCATGCAGCAGTTCACTGATGAAGCAGTGAAAATTTCAGAGAGATGATCCTGAAAGATAGAGATTTATAGGTCTTGTATTGCTAGCACCTCAGAGGTTCACAGTCATGGATCAGTATATTTGCTCCAAAACCAAAGGAATGTAAATCCCCTGTTTAGTTACTAGTATCAGAACATATGGAGGGTAGTGGGTTTTTTTTTTTTTTTCATTTTTTTTCTCCATAAACTTTAAGGGACAGAACCTTGCATCTGTTTTTAGATGAAAGTTGCACAGGGCTCTGCGAGTCACAGTTTTGGGGGAAGCGCAGATACTGTAACGTGCAGCTAGGCCAGGGGAGCGGGTTCGAGCAGCAAAACACAGCGAGGACGTGGCGAAGGGACGGCGCCTGGCATAGCCCAGCCTGGGAGCACTGGCACTGCGGAGGGCAGCGCTAGGCCCTGCTGATGGGCCACACTGCCAAGAGTAGAAGCTTCATGGAGGGGCTGTGCAGAGAGAGGAGCTCTCGGAAAGGTGACGTTTCCGCGGCAGGAAAACGTGGGGAAGCTGCACTAGCTTCAGCATTAGGAAGCACCATCACTTTTCCCAGGTCCGTTTCTAGTGGCACAGGAATCCCCGGGACCTCCGGGGCACCTCTCTGTTAATTCTGGGGGATCTTAACAACTTCTTGAGAGGTGGACCAAGGCCTTGGTCGTGGTAAGGCTGCTCGTAAGGCACAGTGTGATCGGTCAGTGTGATCGGAACTGCACACGCAGCAGGAAGCGTCTCGCTCCCGGGGCTGCTGAGGGAACGTGCAGAGCCAAGGCTGGCAGGAGCTTCGCACAGGCGCAGAGAGGCTCCACAGGTACCACAGAAATGCCCTGACAGGTAACAAGGAAATGCTCTGCCAGAGGACACAGAAACAACTGGAGCTGCATCTGCAGGGAATGTGCCCTTAAATAGCTCCAAAAGAGAGACATTTGCAGGGCTGGAAGCTACAGAGACACTGTTATGCACAGGGGGCACAAAGCACTGTAACAAGTAATACAGTCCCATCCCTAGCTACAGGGGACAGAAAGCAGCCTTCTCCGGGTAGGCCCAACTTGCTCAGCCAGTAATTTCTATGCGCTCCTGTTATTTGTGCCTTAGGATCACCGTGAGGCTCGGCAAGGTGGAGGATGCCGCAGGGCCCCGGTGCCGCTGGCACAGAGGTGAGCGGCACTGGGCAGGGCCTGCTAGCGCCAGCGACACGTCTGTGCCGCGAGGGCCCTGAGCCTGGGGGCTCCTGGCTGCTATTGCGGGCACTGTCAAGGCAGACATGGGTGGCACGGGAACCCCCAGACAGGCCACGCAGCAGAACCCCCAGCAGAACCCTCCTCGCTGCGAGTCTCCCCCTTCCCGAGCCTCCTCTGTGGAAATGCAGCTCTTGCCCGTTCTCTGGTT